TGTTGTGATGAAGCTGCCAATCCCACCAGTTGCCCACAGCTGCAGCCTTCTGAATCATCCAAATAGTGTCCACGGAGCAATGTTCAAGCTCAATGCAAAGTGTGATGCATCTTTGTTGCTCTGCTCATTCAGTCCTTTTGAATGCAACAGCTGCCCAGTACACAAGCTCACTCAAGGGCGTCTGCTGCCCTCGACTAACTGGTACAGTGACATCGTCATTGATCACGCATGAGCATTCCAGGCCTCTCTCCTCGGCTGCCAGGTTAAATTGATGTTGTGTAAACCATCCACGTTATATTAATGATGGGCGGATTTTTTCCAGACACACCTCGTATATGCTAACATGTGATGTTCCTTTTGTTTGCTCATTTTACACACATAACACTTTACTTCTTCATCTTGCCTTCATATCAATAAGCACTGAACTCTGATCAAGGAAGTCTCGGGAACCAGGAGAACGTGGGAGAGCTTGAGGTCAGCTACCGGGGTCTGAGCCTGGACCACCGGCGTCTTCTCAGGCCCGGTGAAGAAGGCGTTTCAGCCTCAACCCAGACCCACCACGGCTCCGCGCACTGCCGCCTGCATCATAGAAACACCACTTCTTGGCTTCTTGCACCCGTTATTGCGCCAGCACAGAGGGGACATGGCGAAAGGCCGGTGGGGTAAGAACCGCGGGCAGTGTCTGCAGACTTATCTGCAGCCTCCGAGGATCCGGGCTGCGCCACGTGGAGGCAGAGGAGCGGGGGCAGGGGGCTGGCGAGCGCGGAGCGCCCGCTCAGCTCCACACTGCCGACGTGTGTCCACGCACGTGTCTGTGCACAAGTGGCATCAAGTGACATGGGACCCCGGGACACCTCGGTGAACCGGGAGAACCTGCTGAGCAGGAAATGACCGCTGGCCGCACAGTCCTCACGAAACACATCCCTGTCGTGCTGCCTGCCGTTCGCCCGTGCCAGGCGAGGGCGCTGCAGAGGGCGGCAGTAACGACCCCCATTGCAGGAAAAAAGCAATTGGCTAAGGGAGACGCTGCCGCCCGCTCCTGGATAGGAAGCCGGGGAATGCCGCGGGACGCCTGCGCAATAGCCCCGCGGACGATGCTGGACGGAAAGGAAAACCCCTGGGGCAAACGGCAGGCGGTGCAGGGCAGACAAACACGTGTTTATTTTCCCTTTACTTCCAGACACCTTGGTAAATGTCAGGGAAACGTCTGAACGTCAAAGCTCACAGCAGCAGAAAGGGTATCGTCCAGGGAGCGGGTGTCGAATGAAATCCGGACGGCGGAAGGCGAGCGCCCGGGGAGGTGGGACTGAAGAACGGATACCGCGCGCGCGGACGATCCCCGGGGCCACCTGCAGGGGCAGCGGCCCTTGTGCACCCTTGGGCCGTGGGGCAGGGAGACACGGGCCAGCGGTGGGGGCCTGTTTCTCCTGACGATGAAGGAGAAAGGCAGGCACAACTTCCAGGAGAAACCCACCCCCGGCCCCAAGGACAACTCCGTCTGTGACAGAGGCAGAATCGGAACCCACTGAAAAGGTGGGAGCATCCACCAGGGGCGGAGCGTGAGAAGGGGCGGGGCGTGAGAAGGGGCGGGGCGTTTGCTCCGGATGCTCCGAGGGAGTGGCCGGAGTCTCCTCTGTGGGAGCTGGTCCGCAGGACGATCAGAGCAAGTGCCTGCACAGACTGGGGGCGGGGCGGGGGGTGGGGGTGGGGAGGCAGCCGGCTTTACGGGAACCAGTGTTTCCTGGCTGATTTTCTGGGAACCAGACCCAGGAATCGCTCTGATACAATTTTTCAAGACTAAATTTAAAACCAGACACACGTTTCAGTTCCTCCCCCTACAAAAACGAGAAGACTACATTTTAGGTGCAGTCCTCTGGCAGACCTAATGACGACAAGAAATAAGAGGAATAAACAAAATGTGGTTTCCGGTAACTGGGCCGGGATGATGCAGAGCTCAGGGACCGGTTGCCCTTATTAGAAATGCTGCAGTCCAAGCCGAGGGTGGCCACAGGCGGGCGAGAGGTGTTGCCAAGGTGCCCTCCTCCGAAGGCAACAGGAAGATGGCCCGGCTCGATGTCACAGATAGTGCCAATAGTCCAACAAGCAAGCTTGGTTAGGAGTTTCGGTGAAAATGTCATCGCTCACCTGTCCCTCCAGACGCCGGGGCCCTTGGCCTTGAATGAATCGGTACGTGTGCACAGAGAGGACATGGGGGGGGGGGGTAATGAGAGCGTACTTCTTGGGGTCCTGCACCCCATGCCAGATTCTTTGACCCCAAAGCCAGACCCCTTAGAGAAACCTGTGCTCAAACATTCCCCAGGTGCGGGAAGAATTAGTCACTGGCTTCTCCGTACTAATGAGCCCGTGTGTGACTCCACGGCGGCACGCCTCACAAAGCATTGTCACCGTGTCCTGTCTCCTCTGCCGTTTGGTGAGCCCTTGACGGAAAAGACCAGCCGTGGCACACCCACGCCTGAGGCCAGTGCCCGGCACCCGGCACACCCACGCCTGAGTCCCGGTGCCCGGCACATTTGCAGAGCAGCTAGGAGAGAGGCAGAGACAAAGAGGCAGAGGGAGATTCAGAGCCTTACTTCTGCTCTGGTTCACCTCCCCTTCATTTTTGTTTTCTCATCACTAAGCATTTTTGGAATTTATGAACCTACCTTGTAAGAACAGCAGCATACAAGTTACCAGCTACTTTGGTAGAAGAGAATTCGATGGGAAACCCACCTCGATGCCCTTGTCCGCCTCCCTATGCCACACGCGCGCTCCCCACGGGACTCGGCCCGCCTGCAGTGACGCCGCTCCCCTGCTGACCACACACAGGTCGGGGTGTCCGGTCCAGACCCCGCCCCTCAGCTCCAGACCACACGTCCAAGCAGCTGCTGGACACCTCCACGGGGGTGGGCCACAAGTGCTTCAAACTCAACCAGCCCAGCAATGAACCTGGGTCTCCAGCCCACCTTCCCCCGCACGACCACGCTCTAACAAGGCTGCAGATCTCACATGGCTTCACCTGCTTAACACCTTCCAGGCCACCCCCCGCCCACTACCTACGGGATCACGTCCAAGGTCCTTAGAAAGGGGGACAGGCCCCCTGGTCATCAGGAGCCAGCTTCCTCCCCCTCCTCCACGCCCACCGCCCACGAGCTCCAGTTCCCCACGAGCACCACGCTCCATTTCCACGCCTGCCTAAAGCGGGCCCTTTCGAGACTCTGCGTGATGCTCGCCTTCTGTCAGAGGCAGTTTTCCTGCAATCACTGCTACACCGTCCGCCCTCCCCCCACCCCCCACGCTGAGCTCCAGACCCGCTTCTGCACAGAGCCCCGTGGGGACCAGCTGGTCCCTCATGTTCAGGGCTGAAGGAACGCTCCATGTGCCCGGGAGGGAGGACATGGCACTCGGAGAGGTTAGCTGACTCGTCCAGTGACACACTCACTCTAAGTGGCAGAGCTGCGACCAGGACTTGGGGCTCCTAACCCAGTTCTCCTGCTCAGACAGTAACAGCTTTCTGTCATTTCCCCTCTTCTCTCCGTGGCTTCCTATTTGGTCCCTCTCCGAGGAGGCCCCATCCAGGGCCCTCGGGAAAGGCCTAGTTAGTGGGCTGCCTTGCCCCACCTGCCTTTCTCTGACCCCTAGCCCCGGGGCCAGAGGCTGCAGCTGGACACCAGACCGGTGGGCTCCCATCCCAGCTGCTGCCGCCCCGGCCTGGGGAGTGGGGGCTTGGCCATGGGAAGCAGCCTCAAGTCCACCTCAGGCTGCCCCTGCACTCCTACCCGCAGGGGAGAGGCTCACTTACCAGGACCTCCTGCCCCATCTCTCCCCCACGTCTGGAGGCGGTGGCTCCCCCCAACTCCAGGCCTAACAGCCACCAACTGCCGGCTGGCCCGAGTTCCTGTCCTCTGATTGGGCCCCTTCCCTGCCAATCCCCTCGGACACGGAATTTCTGCTCTTCACAGAGCCCCGGGCCAGGACCCCTCGGAGCCTTCTTCCTTCACCCCCGGGGAAGCTGCCCGCTCTGGCCGACCCTGCGCTGGGCCTCACGCGTCCCCTGGAAACCCCCTTGGCCCCCTCTCTGTTCCCGAGTCCCCCGCAGCCCGCGAGCCCTTCAAGGGCAAAGACGAAATGTTGTAACTTTTGTTCTGCATCCCCAAGGCTGAGGACAGACCACAGAGGGACAAGTAGGGGTCCCGGCTGCATCACTTCGTCCCTGGACCAGCCCCAAAGTCCTCCCGTGAACCCCAGCACCCCCATGCTTATTCCCTGACACCCACCCTCCACAGGCAAGGCCCTCGTGTTTAAGGTGCGTGGGGCACAGCAAGGTGTACGATGACGCTGCAAGTGTAGCTCCAGTGCCGGGCACGTGCCCTGGGAGAGAGGGACTGGAGGCTGGGACCGCCGTCGGGGGCTTGTGTGAATACCCGCCCCCCCCAACGACCAAGGCCCAGACCGGCAGATCCATGAGGAGAGTCTAGGAGCTGGAAGTGGCGTCCTCAGGCTGCAGAACACGGGGTCCAGGGAGATCCCAAAAGACAGCGTCCACGAGCAAAGCCGAGATCGAAGCGCTAAGCAGGGTCACAGAGACCCCCCGGAGGGCCTGAGCCAGTGGTTACGGAGGAAGAGGCAGAATCTGCTAATGGGCCTCGAGGGGCTACACGCAGCTGCACGTCTCTTGTCAGATACACGTGACCTTACACAGTGGGGCAACAGCCGCATGGGAGCTGATAGGAACCTTTCCTGTCCTCACTAGGGAGCCGCTGAGTGATTTTTACTCAGAGAGGCAACAAAACCACACCCCTGCCTGGGGCAGAATGCGGGGAGAGGAGATGAGAAACTAACCAACAGGCTCTTAGCTCCATCAACAATGAGAAAAGTGCTACAGGCCAGCTCCCCAGCACCCGCCGCATGGCGGGGGGCCGGCCTGGCGCCTGCACCTGCCCGTGGCCATGAACCCCAGTTTGCCGAAGAGCCTTGTCTCTCCTCCTGAAAGGTCAAAGTACCATGAGGACGTTCGCAGCAGCTTCACTCACGTTGATGTTCGAAGACCATACATTTCGAATCCATCCGGGGTCTCTCATTATGGGGATCTGCAAAACAAAACCACGAGAAGTTACTGAGCGAAAAGGTTCTGGAATCAGATCTCGGGGGTGAGCGCTCGGCGTTGGGAATACACTGAGCACCGCCGACTGTGCACTTCGCCGTGGCGGGTTCTGTGCTCTGCCAGCTGCAGCTCCGTAAGACGGGAGGTTAGGGAAGAGGCTGTGCCGACTCTTCCCCCAGCGCGTCCCGTCAGCCTGAGGTCTCTGTCACACAGAGCACCAAAAAGCCACCGCTTTCTCCCCTCCTTCCTGCCTTCACCACGTCCCTCCCAGAGCACACGGAACCTGTCAGTGAAACTTCAGGAGACGGGTCCACGGTGGGGAGACGTGGGTCGAGCGGGGGGGCCCTTTCCTTTTCTTTCTTTTTTAAATGCCCTCCTCAAGCACAGTCTGCTGCAGGAGGCCACATGGAAAGGGACAGAAGGGGACGGTACGGTGGTATCGAGGAAGGGGACCAGAGTCGGCAGCCGTGGCTGCAGAGAGCCCTGAGGTTTCGGACAGCACGGTTTGAGGGCACCCGCTGCACGTGGTGGGGAGCTGCGGATGGGTGGGTGGGACGAGCAGGCCTGTGTTTCGCAGGACTGATTCTGGGGGGACCGTTGCAGAGTCCTGGAACCGCCTCCGGAATAAAAAGGGTCCGTACAGTTTCCTGTAAGCCGGAACCCGGGAGAGAAGGCAGATGAGCCTTCCCGGGTTCCACCCAAGTCTGGGTCCTCGCCGGGAACGTGGGGTAAGGCCACTGGTTTCTTCATCTGTGCATTGCTTAACTGGGCAGTCAATTCAATCCTGGTTTCAACCAAGGGATGCATTGTGCGCACTCGCTGGAGTGCGTCTCAGCCCACGCGGACAGCACAGCAGGCCGCAGACAGCCCCACAAGGTGGACACAGGTGTCCCAGAGCACCCAACCCAAATTCTGCGGTAGGCGCGAGCAGCCACACCGGTGTCACCCTCACGAGAGACGCTACGGAGGCTGGCGGCAGTTCCACCTCGCGAGGGTCTGGTCCCGGTTGAAAGTACAGTTTCAAATCGAACACCAAATCCATGCGGGGGAGGGGGGGACCAAAGTAGGTGTACGGCTGTGAGTACGTGAAACAGCTTATTCTTGTGTTATAATTTATTCTTGTGTTATTTTCCATACGAACAGTGGTAAACCTGCTTTTGCCCCACACTGTGTACCTTTTCCTGCCACGGGGGCAACGGCGCTGCCCCTCGAGGGTTTGGGCTGGCTTCGGAGATGGGACGGAAGCACCAGAACACCAAACGTGGCTAGGCCGTGCGTTTCCACAGTAACTACTCTCAGAGCTAAGAAGACAGGACCTCATCCCGCCCACAGCTACTCGTCGTCACCCGACATTCTAGCACACACTTGCAGGCCCAGCCTCGGAGAACGAACTGGGTTTGAACCCCAGCCCTCTCACTGAGAGCTGAGTGGCCTTTCAGGAATTCGACCTTTCTAAGTCTCCAAGGCCCTACCACCAAACACCATCGCACTGGAGGTTCCGGCTTCAATATATGGATCTGGGGTCGCACAAACATTCCATCCATCACAGCGTTACGTGTGTTAACATTTAAGTGAGGGATACAAGGAAAAAAGAAGGAGGGACGGAAAGTGGAGTCACAAGTGATGCCAGCGCACACCCCCATTCCGCGGAGTCCCATGGATCTGCAAACAGCGGGCAGAAAGGTGGCCCTGGCGGCCGATGCCCAGAGACGGCCCCGAGTGGGTGCGCAGCTCATGGTGCGACTGAGGCGGAAGCCAGCCCCGCGTTCCGAGATGTGCGCCCGCTCCTGAGTTTTCTGGTCTGGCCAGCGCCCAGACTAGCAACTAACTTTTGTGCTGTGCATTACTGGTGCACACGGTAGTTTCTCTTCTGATTCTTACACTAGCTCTGCAAGGGGACTATTTTATCACTGTCCTTTCTTTACAGACAAGAGGACTGAGTTTGTGTAGTTACTGTTTGCCTGTCTGTTTTTTTTAAAGGTTTCATTTACTTATTTTTAGAGAGAGGGGAAGGGAAGGAGAGAGAGGGGGAGAGAAGAAACATCGATCTGTTTGTTGCCTCTTGTGCACGCCCCAACTGGGGACTAACCCACAACCCAGACACGTGCCCTGACCAGGAGTCAAACTGGCGACCTTTCACCTTGCAGGACGACTCCCAGCTGACCGAGCCACACCAGTCGGGACATGTTTGCTTGTTTTTAAGAAGAGAAGATCGAGGCTTAGAAAGACCTCAGTGACAGGCTCCTTTGCTGCCCCACAGGTCAGGATTCCCCCCAGGCCAGACCCTGCCCCTCAGCTCCAGGCCACAGACCCGCTGGACACCGCCACGCAGGTGGGCCATGGGCACTTCAAACCGCGCCAGGCCAGTAGACCGTGTCTGAGCTGGGTGCCCCCAGGAGTGCCCCCAAATGGTGCAGAAATGGAAAGAGAATCCGTAGTCAGGGGAAGTGCATCGAAGCCCTGGTTATAATACTTAATAATGCTTACGAGGGAAGAGTTGAGCTTCACACGGGCTGTATAGGCTATGTGTGTGTGTGTGAGATCACAGGGACCTCAGATGTTTTTGCTGCTCCTCTCACCGACGAGCCCTCCCCTTAGATCTGAGCGAGCCCACGCGAGCTGCTTGCTCGGTGACCTGCAGAACAGGTGCTGTTCTCCACGTCCGGAGGCCAGGTTGTAAGAAACCTCCCAGCAGCCCCCTCGGCCCCCGGTGATGCTCTTTATGGGGACGCCAGCTGCTCTGTAAGAGGTGTGACTGTCCTGAGGCCCATGTCCCTGCCGGCCTGCGTAGGCACGCCTGCAACAGCCCCAGCTGAGCGGCCCTCCAGCCACCCCCGCCCAGCCACCGGACACCTGTGGGCAGTCACAGCGGTCCTTGCAGGCCAGCCCAGCTGCCAGTCAGGCTCCCCTGCGTCATCCTGGTAGCACAGGAGGAGCAGGACAGTCACCCAGCCAGGCCCGCCCACACCCTGACCCTTGAAACCACGAGAGAAAGTAGTTGTTGTGACCAGCCGCCAGGTTTCAAAGCAGTTGGTTTGGGAGGGCTAAGTGGCCGGCACGGAGCACAGGTTTGCAGGAAGAGGGGCTGGATTGCACCGCTCCGTGGGATTAAATTGCATCTGCGTATCTGTTTCCCAGCGGAGAGCGGTTTTGCAAGACGTCTGTGTGTTTGCTCTGAACTGCACGGTCTGTGCCTCTGAGAGCCCGACACGTGTGTGTCTTGTTTTCTGGGTGTGTTTACGGCCAGACGATGAGGCCGACGCTCCCGTGTGAAACCGAATCCCAGTCCTCACGGCCCTCTTGGCCTGTTTGTGAAGAGACCACGGAGACCATGAACGCACCCACACACCATGCCGTGTAAACCAAGGTGTGTCTTTCTCACGTGTCCGCCTGGTTCGGCGTGACAACCTTGCCTTTCTGTTGTCTGAGTTTCAGTGCTCTCACGGGTAGGGCCCTGCGGCCCCGGTGAGACTGCCCTCCCGGGGCCAGGCAAGGGGAGGGACCAGGGTCACCACTGGGCCACCGAACACCTGCCCCTCCGACCCAGAGAAGCAGCAGCGGTGCGCGTTCCCTGGTCGCCCCAAGAAGAAAAACCTCTTCCTCGTGGCCCAGCCGACATCCGGCGTCCACGACCCCTTCTTCTCTGGACCCTCGGGCTTAACGACGTTTATGGCCACGCCTTTCCTTGGGAGCCAACCAACCAGGGCCCCTAAGTCAGACGCCTCCTGGATCGGGCACTCGCACCCAGAGCCACTACCCACCTGTTCTAATCACCGCAGGGCCAGGTCCCAGACCTCGGGGGGCCTGTGCCCCAGAGCCCCTGACAGCGTGCGCACCACCCAGCCCTACACTGTCTGTCTGCTCCTTGCCCGTGGCAAACACAGTGAAGCCCTCCCCCACCCATCCCCTCGCTCCCTCTGCCTCCCCACGTGACCCCACTCCCGTTTCCAGGGGCCTGGGAGGGTTACAAATGTCTCGCTGCACAATAGTCACATATCTTATCAACCCTGAGTAAAACAAGTCCTGGCTTCCCTCAAGCGCACAGCATCCTGAAGCCACAAGCCCAGGGGACACCGTGAGAACATCAAGGCATTGATATGCATGGGGACACAGGGGACACAAATAACGAAGGGACAGTTTAGTGCAGCCACAGCCCAAACCACACAGACACCAACCAACCAAGAAGAACACGTCGGCCCCGGACACACCAGCAAGCACAGCGAGTGCCTGCGTCTGTGAAATGGGCACAAGGACACGCCGCTTTTATCGGGGTTACACGCGAATGGACATAAACAGTAGGCACAGAAACCAGTGCCTATTGTGCATTCAGCAGGTGCTGTATTTTACCATCATCATCTTTATTATTACTCCCACCATCGTTACGTGTCACTAAATGGCAGCAGTGGGGTGCGGTTGCTGCTCCTGTCAGTGCCGCCTGGGCCCGGTGCTGGGGACAGACCTGTGTGCTGCTGCCAGCGTTCAGAGACACGCCAGCGAGCACTGGATTAGCAAACTCAGTCACCCCGTGACTCAATCACGGGGTGACTGAGCTCCTACAGCTGGTCACGCTCCGTGCTACATGCTGAGTTCCTCGCTGGGGCAATTGCAAAGCTCACTGAGAAAGGATGGCTTGAGTTATTCATGGTCCAGCGAGAAAAACGGGTGCAGAAACGAACCTCTCAAGTCCAGCCTGATGCGTGCGGTTGGGGAGGCATGACCCAAAGGCTGGGGTAGCCCAGTGGGGGGAACCCTCGGGGAGGACGAGGGAGGGTCAGGGAAGACGTCTCGGAGGAGCTGGGGGCTGATGACCAAGCAGGAGCCTCTGGGCCAGCAAGGGAGGGCGTGGCCAGCGGAGAGACGACACAGGGTCAAGGAGACACAAATCGTCCCATAAGCCAGCGAGGGGGTGAGAATGCCAAGTGAGTGTGGAACGGGGAGCTGAGAAGGGGAGAGGACCCTGCAAACCTGGAGGAGGAGCTGGAGGCT